AACGTCCCCCTTTTGAGGTCCCCATTTCGGACTCCCCTTTTTGGGGTTCCCCTTTTGGAGTCCTCCTTTTGGGCTCCTCGTTTTGAGGTCCCCATTTTAGGGTCCCCTTCTTGGGATCCCAATTTTAGGGTCCCCCTTTTGGGGTCTTCATTTTGGAGTCCCCCTTTTGGGGTGCAGTTTTGGGGTCCCCCTTTTGGGGTGCAGGTTCTGGGGTCCCACCTTGGTCGACGCCGTTGATGTAGAAGTGCAGGGCGTTGTTGGCCTTCCTGGTGAGCCCGATGTGATCCCCCTCCTGGGGGGGGCAAAAACGGGGTCACCAGAGCTGGGGGGGGGTCTGGATGGGTCGGGGGGGGTCCCCCCGATTTTGGGGGGGCTCTGGGGGGGGTTCACCTGCAGCTCATCCAGGCTGAACTCGCAGTATTCCCGCCGCGTCCCCTTCCCGTTGGTGAGGATCCCGCAGCCGCTCATCATGATGGTCCCTGGGGGGGACCCCAAAATTTGGGAAAAAGGGGAGCGTTGGGGGGCACCTCAAAACCCGAGGGGTCCCAAAATCAGGGAGGGGGGAAAGGGGAGCGTTGGGGGGCACCCCAAGACCCAAGGGGTCCCAAAATCGGGGAGGGGGGAAAGGGGAGTGTTGAGGGGCACCCCAAAACCTGAGGGGGGCCCAAAATCAGGGGGGGTGGAGAAGGGGAGCATTGAGGGGCACCCCAAGACCTGAGGGGGGCACCTTGGGGAGAGGAAGGGGAGCATTTGGGGGCACCCCAAGACCCGAGGGGTCCCAAAATCGGGGAGGGGGGAACCCCAAAATCCAAGGGGGGCACCCGAGGGGGGAAAGGGAGTGTTGGGGGGCACCCCAAGACCCGAGGGGTCCCAAAATTGGGGAGGAGGGAAAGGGGAGCATTGAGGGGCACCCCAAAACCTGAGGGGGGCACCCTGGGGGGGGAAGGGGAGCATTTGGGGGCACCCCAAAACCTGAGGGGGTCCCAAAATCGGGGAAGGGGGGAAAGGGGAGCGTTGAGGGGCACCCCAAGACCCGAGGGGGGCACCTTGGGGAGCATTTGGGGGCACCCCAAAACCTGGGGGCTCTGGGGGCTGTTTTGGGGTCTCACCCGAGCGCAGGTTGGTCATGGTGGCCGGGTACTCGAGGCTGTTGGGGTTGTGGGCGGTGACCCCGATCTCGATGGACCCCGACCACTTGTCCACCAGTTTGTCGATGCGGATCTGGGGGGGCCATGAGGGGAAAGGGGGGGTCAGGGACTCCCAAAATCCCACAGGAACACCCCCAGGATCCCCAAAATCCCACAGGAACCCCCCCAGGCCCCTACAAATCCCCAACTCAAACATCTCCCCGTCCCTGAGGGGCCTGTTGGTGAGGACA